GTCTAGTACTAGTATTCTTCCATAGAATGTGTTATTCATATTCTTGTTATTTGATCTCTGATAGATATCTATTTTAATGACAATAATGTCGTATCACTCTGTTTTTTTTTCATTGACGTTTTAAAACAATAATAAAAAAAGCATTCCAAGATCTATAAATTGTCGTCAAAAATATGAATAATACATATGTATCCCTCTTTGGTACAAGACATTTTAAGAAAAAAATGGCATGTTAAACATGGTTTCACGGCCAAACCTCCCGCGTATATGGAAATGTTAACAAATATCGCTAAAATGACAACACTACGTGACAGAAATACAGCACAAACACTCATCATAGAGAAACGCACACACACAAATAATATAAAAGTCGACACAACATGAAAACCGCAGAACAACAACGAACATCGTCCATCAACAACAGATTGATTGATTGATTGTTGGTTGCTTAACATCCAGTGGCAAATATTTCATGCATATTCAGGACGAGAACAAATTAGCAATAAATACAATAGGTAGGTTCTGTAAGAGAGGCGTCCGGGATTAAGGTCGGAGAAATTTAGACTGCCACGGGAAATGAGGGTATATTGGGTAGGGACAGAAATTTAGCCTTGCAACAGATCACCTACGGACCCCTCAAAGAGTTGTTGCAAGGGTTCTTAACGTGCAAAGAGCGTGGCACTCTCTTTACACGAGGCATCGGATTTAACGTCCCCATTCTGACCGGACGTGGCTGCAAATTTGTACATCCCGCACAGCCAAACGGACGCCCCACTTTAGCAAGGGATTAACTGCCGGTCGGAGGAAGACCAATGGTGACCATACTTCTATTCCCCAGTCACCCTTGGTGACTCAACAACAGACAAGAACAGGATATCACAAACAGTGACACACTTACGTAACGAATATGCAATCTGGAACTTTATACAATTTACCTTCTCAGTCCAAACGGTAGTGGAAGGCTATTCTATAATTATTTGGACTACAACCGGTAAGACATAACACATTATACAATTGAAATCATAACAGAAACATCAAAAATAAATAAGGTATCAATTGAGATATGGTAACACCTACGACGGAGCAGAGGGTATGTTACTGCTGAGAAATAGAAAATTGATAATTTGGTTGTTGAAATCATCCTGTTTGTCATAAATTTTAGTGTGAAGTCGTCCAATATTGAGGAAAAGATCAAAGTGTGAAGCAGTCCTTCTTGTATCAGTAGTATCCCTAATTTCAAGTTCACTGGGATATATGAAATCCAAGTACTGACCGAAATATGGTTTATTCAGTGATAGAACAAGTCATCATCAATATATCTGAAAGTAAAATTAAAGAAGTTTGCAAGGTGCTTTTTCTTTTTGTCTTTTAGAAGGTTCTGAATGAATTCTGTTTCATATGAGTACAAAAACAAGTCGGCCAGAAGGGATGCACAATTAGTACCAATTGAAATATCGACTGTCTGTTGAAATATCAATCTTCCAAACTCAACAAATATATTGTCGATTAAAAAGTCCAGCATTTTGATAATATCATCTTCACTGTATTTTCTGATAGAATCAGTATGGTTCTTCACAAAATAAGAATTATTATAAACCAAAACAAGAAATGTATATCTACAATTCCCATTTTTATAGAAAACGATCGGTTTAATGAGATGGTGAAGTCGATCTTTCAATTGAGCATGAAGAATAGTAGTGTAAAGTGTAGACAAAAAAGATTTAGCAGTAGATCTTTAGAATTTTTGAAAATCCACATCTGATTGACACCACTGGTTGAATATATCTCATCACAATATTTTTAAAGGCCGTCTTTTACTGTAGAAAAAATAGAAGTCAACACTTTAGAAAGATGTTTAGTCGAAGGCTTTATCTGCTGGAACAAAAAACAAATATTTGTCATGCATAGAGCATGTAGAGGATAAAGCATCCACAACCTCCGAATTTTTGAAAAGGCTAGAAACCCTTGTGCTCATAGTACATCGTTGTTTCTGAATGCGTTTCTGAATGCATGTTCGAATAGCTTTGACAAAGTGTCCAGTTCTGATTCGTCTGGTTCGCGCTTTACCCATTTTTCATCATAGTCCTTAACTGCATTCATCTGTAATCTGGAGTTTTTTTGTTGATGGGCTGAGGAATTCTATAGTTTGGTCCCTTGGCTAACAACTATCTTAGTTGTTCATTGGCAACGATGCCAAAGTCGCCAGTAATAACATGACCAGCTGGACTATAACTGTATTTCAACGATGCACATGAACAATCCGGAAGTTTGGATTTCACATTTTTAAGGTTAAAAGCCTCTAAAACCCCTTATGGTTGAAAATCTTGGATGCAGTAGACTTGATGTAAGTATATATGTAGCTTTATTTTTTAAGTAATCAGGTATAGTTTTTTTGTACAGATTTCTGGTGGAAAATATTGCTAAATTAATATTAATAGCATTTAAACCTATGTTGGCGAATTCTACTTTCAAATTAATTTTTTCCTCATCTTTGGAAGTAGACGATACGGGTTTAAATAGTCTATGGTTAGCAATGTCCATGATTATTGCAACTAATCTATAGAACACAGAATAAGAATCAATAACGGAAGTAGTGTGGTCCTCTTGAAAAAGTAAATACAGTTTAAATAATGGAATAGAGTATAGTTTAGTTCTGATATGGTTAATTCATAAAGGCTTTTGAAAAGACGATAACAGACTATCAAGTGTCACAGTGTGAACAGTAGGTGGTGTATACTTATTGTGACCATGACTTCTATTTCGTCGAGCAGAAGTATTAACGAATTGTAATTCTACAGTACTACACCTGGGACTAGACAATATACCTCCACCATCAATGTTGTCAGTGCATCCATAGGGAATGGCTGTTCCAAACTCTTTTATCCAAAATTCTTCTCTTTGTAGACGATATGGTGTGCTCAATATAGGGTCAATTGTTAAATAATATATTTTCTCTATAATCCGGATGAGTCTATTGTAGTCGGGAAACTCGACAAAGACTCAATTTTAGAATGAATGACCATCGGTCTAATGTTAATGATAATAATAACAACAAATTTCTATATACACATTTAAATCAGCCTGACCATTCTATTGTTTCAATGGAATAAACTCATCATAGATACCAGGATTGAAATTATGTGTTTGCGCCAGACGCGCGTTTCGTCTACAAAAGACTCATCAGTGATGCTCGAATAAAAAAAGTTAAAAACGCCAAATAAAGTACGAAGTTGAAGAGCATTGAGGACCAAAAATTCCTAAAAGTTTTGCCAATTACAGCTAAGGTGATCTATTCCTGAGATAAAAAAGTCTTAGTTTTTCAAAAAATTTAAGCTTTGTATATGGTTAATTTATAATTATGACCATATCAATGATAATTCATGTCAACACAAGTGCCGACTACTAAGACTATGTCGTTTTCTACTCACAAGCCTTTAATTTATGAAATTGACATTATAATTATTATTGAGACAATTATTATTTGTCATCTACTTAACTCGATTTGTGCTTTTTTCGCCACTGTTTTAAAACTTTATTGTATTCATTTAATCAAATTACCTAATTCAATTTGTTTCTTGTCTACAAAAGAAATCCCTTTAAGTTTCATGTTTGCAAACACCTTTGAAAGTAGCATTTGTTTTTTTATGATCTCTCGTGAAAACATCTAAAATGAATCCAGTTGTGCATGTACAATTAAAGATTGAATACTATATGAAAAACGTAATTCCCTGGATGGTTGTATATACACTTGTATTTTACCCTAGGGCTGTCTTCGTGTTGTCTTTTGATAATTAACAGTTTGAAAGAGCATATCGTCTTTTGAAAATAGATCAAAGACTTAAATGATTTTTTTTTGCAATTGCATACATGTGCAAGGACTATTTCGTTTGAAATTATTGCTTGTGGTTTTTAGTACGTATATAGCACTATATTATTAATCCAATATTTTTAAGGACTTGTGATTCGTTAAAACTTGATCATATGTACATTTGTATTGACTCCGTTTGGACAACAATACTGTTGTGTTTAGCTTTTCGTAGGTCAAAATCAGCATAGTGCACAGGGCATACAGCATGTTACAGCAGAATCCCCAATTTTACATTGTTCATGCAATAGTTGTTGATTAATAATGTTACAATTCTAGCCTTTGGTTGAGGTCAAAACCATTTTAAATCGACCTACAGAAGCATATCGTCCTCAGTCAATATACTCCTCTTAGGTCGATATAACCTCGTATCGACCTCATCGAAAGGCTATAAGTGTATAATTAAAAATTGTTCTAGTTTGTTTATATTATTGAATTTGGTGGGTTTGTTCTGCACTAGATAGGTGAACATAAATAAATATCAAATACGCAACCAAATCTCTGTTTCCGTGTTTGATTTGTGAAATTTATGATTCTGACGCCAGTTGATTGGACATCAGTTTAAAACAGGTGTAACTATTTGTAACTTTTTTTCAAATTTGTTATTCTTTTAGACAAACTTAAGTGCGATGATGCTTGAATAATGGCAATGACATTGAAATATTTTTTTTTTAAATGTATCTTATAGATATAAATATGATGCTGTTGCAACTGTGGGGTTGTCATCAAAAGGGGAACTCCGAACATGAAAGAAAAATAAAATCAGGACATATAGTTTAATTGAAATTCAAAATCTATGTTAATAAAAAATAAGTTAACCTCCTAGTTGTGAACTATATGTATACGGTATTATAAATATGTTCATTTGATATGTATATGGCAACACAATGCAAACATGTACTATTTAATTTATAACCACATTTATCAAGAAACAAATCACATATATTAATGATTCAAATACAAGTTGATAATACCAATGAATATTCCCACAAAAAATCACCAAAAAAATGTAACATGTAACTATTTGTCGGGTTGTTGTCTCTTTGACACATTCCCCATTTCCATTCTCAATTTTAACTAATGTATATTCCACAAAATATCATCAAACGATATAAAAAAACGTTTATTTTCACTCTTTACAAATTTATTGTCATACATATCACAGATGAAATGCTTTGATAGGTCCAATTAAAAGTCATCTAACCTAATAACTGAATTCAAGATTACATTATACAAGTAAGAATTAGTACGTTCGCACTCGTGAGAAGGTTAACCACACAGATGGTATCTAAGATATCGAAAGTTAGATTTTCAAACGAAAGCAAAGAATGAATGTTCCCACAATGATGATCATAAAATGTAAACCATGTTAAAATTTTCCCTCAGTTTTATATAAGAATGAAATCGATCCACTTTGTTTACATTTTTTTCAATCTAATCTGTCTCTTCTTTTTCGGTTCATGGCTTTCAATTTAGGCTGTTTGATCCTGGAAGACAGAGTAAATAAATGAATTTCATAAAATATTGTGATTTATAACATTATACTGTATTGTACTCTTATTTCATTTGTGATATTACAGTCACTCGTTGTAAGGCATGATGATCTTCAAAATGCTTTCAGATGTGTTAGCCATATAGTACGAATCTAGTGAGTTGTATAATGCAATAAACTTGTTTGTTTCTTATAAAGCAACTGCACACTGTCTGGCATTTGTGCTATTTCGACTAAGTGTGGATTCACATGGTGGGTGATATAACAATTTCGTAATAAATTCAAAATTAAATAATATTAACTGCAAAGGCACAATTATAAACTGTTGACACAGCGATATGTGTATCGCCTGTAGGCATCAACGTCAGAAAAAAGACAATCTGATGGACAGCAACATTGCATATTATTTCAAAGTCACTTGAAAGCTTGTGGACGGGGCCTATAAATGCTTGAAACACTGAGATGTACAGACAGTAATGTAACTATATCGACAATATCATTGTATATTGTAAGCAGTTCTTATCAATCTAACTTCAGTAGAAAACTTAACATTGAAAACTGCTAAATAATTCAAAGTCGCTGAATCATGACCTAGAAGCCAGGGCCTCAAAATAGTCGTCTAACTGATATGTACTTATAGTAATGCAACTTTATATTAAATATCATTGATCTATCACAAATAGATTCTTTTAAACAAACCAATTCAAAAAGTTAACATTTACAATGGTTAGTCACTTCAAAGTTGCTGAACCTTGACCTAGAGAGCAGAGCCTCACAATGGTTGTCAAACTGATATATACTGCTAGTAACGCAACTTTGTACTATATATCAATATTCTATCGCAAGTAGTACGTAATAAACTAACTTAGGCAGAAAACTTAACAATTGTTGACGCCATCGTTGCAGTCGCCAGAAAAGCAATCTCTATATCTCGCTTTCCTCGACTTTCATCATAGGCGAGACAAGAATTGTAGGCACTATCTTTTGTCGATTAAAAACTCATTAGAGCTTATGTTATGTCTTTGTTTGTATACTATGCCGACTCTAAATAAAACTTATTTATTTTATTTTTTTTTACGGTCACCCGCAAAAAGTAACAATAACAAAATAATTATTGTTACTTCTGAGACTAATTCCCGAAATGTATTTCTGGAGAGGAATCCTATTGCATACGGAAATTGCAGATAACAATAAATTTTGTTATTGTTATCGGCAGTTATATCTACTGGCAAAATTTTACATTTGCAAGTTATGTCTTTTTAGTGTGTATAATCTGGATATTTGAACTGTATTCGTGTCATTGCCCGTAATCTTCGGTTTACATATTTGAAACAAAAATTCTATGAATAGACATTATTCAATAAACATAGCAATAATGAATTAAACACTTATAATAAGAAGTATTATAGCTATTTATTTTGGTGGTACTTCTGGCACATCCAGTATATACCTAAGTTGACACTGTGAGGCCAGCACATTTAGGTGGTACTACTCCATATACCTGTTGCAAACAATATATTCATATATATGGACTTCAATACCACACACTTAGCAGTTCCACTCTGCTGTGTTCTTCTTCTGTGATATCTGTTTGTGTTTGCATTTTCCATGACTCATTGGAAAAGTATTCTTTGATTCATTGAGATTAATGTTCCTTTTGAGCAATTCTGTAGGCAATTTCACTGATGAAAGAAATTGTTCCTCTGGGGTTATGATCAGAACGTCTTCTATATTGTTGAACAGAATTTGAATTTTCGATTTGATGAAGTTTATCATTAAAATTTTGAAGAAAAAAAAAACTTTTCACTGACCACACATTGAACATTTTGCTCATTCGAATCCATAGTCATGAATAGTGAACTGCTTTATACGACCACCCCATGGCAAAAATGAACGTCATATTGGTCAATTTATCTTGAAGTTTAATCATGTTAATATTACATCTCAATTTAATTGTTTAAATTTGTTTCATAGATTGCTTGCAAATCAAACATTTTTTTTAAAACAGTGCCTACCTGAATATATTTATCTATTGACAATAACTGTAGGTAACAATAACAAACTATGTTATTGTTACATGCAATTTCCGTATGAAATAGGGTCCCTCTTGGAAATACATCTCGGCAATTAGTATGGACATAACAATTATTATTTCTTATTGTTACGTTTTGCGGGTAACCGTAGCAAGTGCTAAAATTGTATTAATGTCGACCATAACTTATGTTTGTCATAATGAATGAAACAATTATGGTGAAAAATTTACCTGATTTATTGTCCAAATGGTCTACTGATCTTTTCTTTGAACGACGGCATGATGCTGTAAAAAGATATGAACAATATACAACCCCATTGACTCAAGGTTTTGCTAAACACGGTGAAACTTGTATAGACGCATCTTGACTATCAGTAATTGCTTTATGTCATGTTAAACTTGTTTTTTTATTTAGAAAGTAATGGCATATCCTTGATTTGTTTGATTAAATCTCTAAACAACTCAACCACATTTGGAATGTTGAAACACTGTAGCTTTTTTTTTCTATTTTTGTTTTGAGGTTGCTGAAATCGATTAATTAAATATGTTTCAGAATAACAGTATTAAGGTATTATTTTAGCCAAAATCAGCTTTAGCTTTGGAATAAAGATGTTTACGACTGGGTCGATGACGTCACGCCAGTTATCAACACTTTCATGTTGACATGATATATAAATAATTTGTTCATTTTCTGTCAATTTATGAGTCTATGAAATTACTGAAATAAGTGCTTTAAAATCACTCATTTGAGTAGCAAATTAGGAATTCTGTGATTTTGTATTTTACCAAAATTTTAAACGCACAGGTTTAGATTATATTTAAGTATAAGTAAAACTGAATAAAATTGACCTTTTGCTTCTTTGAAGTAGCAAGGTTTACGACTTTGATGCAATCATTCATCTGTATATTCTAAATTTGTTAAGAAAAATGCTACGATGAAGGCTTAACAAAATGATCTAGTACTTTCTGACATATTTTTCCCAGAGGTGGGAGCATTTTTCCTGTAAAATTCAAGGTTTCAGCTTTGAGATTATGTTATTAAATGATACTGTTCGCTATATATAGATTCTACCACTGCATCGAGTGTGATCCGATATTTATCCACTGGAGACAGTTAATTCTTTTTTTAATTTACAACGCGAGGCTTGCCGAGCGTTTTAAATATTTACAATATAACTGTCGAGAGTGGATAAATATCGTATTGCAAGATATTTGGTGGTGGAATATGTTTCTCTAATGGTTTTTAGCTGATATGCATACATTCTTTTTGAACGACCTGCAAAAAGATGTGTTCTTTCTACTTGACCTCATCAGACATGGTCGCCTTTTTTCGTGACGTCAGAATTGGAATTTCAGAGGAAAGCGATAACGTTTGAAGTCATAATCGAATTTTGACTAAATTAAAGAACTGAGATCAAACGAACCACACGTTGATTAAATAAAAATTATCGACAGGTCATGAAAGGAATGAATTGAGTAAGAATTAAAGACAAAAAATAAATGTTCAAGAGTTTTGTAAATAGTGTGTGTGTGTGTGTGTGTGTGTGTGTGTGTGTGGTGGGTTGGCGGGGGGGGGGGGGGTTATTAATAAAATAATACTCAAAATAGATAAACAAGTGATGTTCATGTCATTTTCCCAGATTAAAAAAAGAGCAATCACTATACATGAGCAGTCAGCATATTAACATAGATGTTGTTTCTGATAACTTAAACATCATAATTAGTCCCAGGATCATTAATATTATATATTTAAAGCTACAATAAAATAAAATCACTTAGTCTAGTGATTTATTTGTACTTTTTAAATGATTTATTTGTACTTTTTAAATAGGTGATTTTTTAAGAAAGACTACTCTTAATTGCAGCATTTAAGTGGGAGAAAATGTTACTTGAATATTAAGTGATTTAAGAAATCACTCATTTAAGTAATTGCCCTGACTGTTTATTGTTTTTGAAATATTGAAATATTGAAAACACTAAGGTTTTTTGATTGCATTAACCGTATTTGGTACTTAACTGATTTTTTTGGTACGCCCTTTACCATTTATTTGCTCTTGCCTCAAAACTGATTTCATTCAAACGCTACAGACGAGTCTCACTTGGAAGAAACACGCGTATGGCGAAAAAGCCTAACATCTTTGATGAGTTTTTTTATTCTGATTTCACAAAATACAGTGATAGATTGAACAGGTTTTTTTTAATAAGTTCTAAAGAGAAGTGTTCCGCTCCGGTTAACAATTGAATTCTAAGGTAATGTTGATTGTAATCTGATGTATCTAAAGAATTTACCTCGACATTTTCTTAAGTTGCAAAGTGATGTTTCAATTTCGGAACCAACACATTTCAGTCCATCGTCAGACGGTGGGGGATTGTCACATGTTCTGGTTTTGATTATGACACCATCTCCACAAGTTGCAGAACATGAGGAGTTGATCCAAGGGCTCCATCCTCCATTAAAAAATGAAAAACAAAACGGTATAAATCTTATACTATTGCAAAAATATTTTGCACTATTAGCAGTCAGTTTAATTCAATTTTCATAAACTGAAACCTCAATTCGACCTCATTTAAATAGTTATGCATGCATCATACTCATAGTTTTACTTTAACTTGTTTAGGATTTATTTAGTGGTTGCCGAATTAGTAAATGATACTGGTTTTAAGCTTTCTTACATTGTTTCACCTTTTCTTTTCAAGTAATCACAGCCTGCAGTCACATTACAGAAAGTTTTATATAGATGTTTGCACGGCATAAATCAATTACGACAATTTGAGCCAATTTGGATAATTGCATTTACAGGAATTGTCCTTTTAATTATGCAGTAGTTATCCGATTTTCAATTCTCATTAATATATAAAGAAGAAACAAATCATCGTACCAAACATCCAGAAAAGCACTTCAGATGCATGACATTTAAAACGTGTCGTTCTCTTTTTTAATTCTATAATGTAAAGGTAAGAATGAACACTGATTTTTTACATCTTCTTTTTTCTTTTTATATTGTAATTGTACTTATTTTCGCGAAATGTGTATTTCAAACACGTTCGCAGATATTTATATTCGCGGTTTTTATTCCTAAAAATTAAATTAAAAATAAAAGTTATAATTATCGTCTCGTGTGTCAATAAGAACTGCATTAAAAGGAAATGCGTAAATAGCCGTCGGGTATACTGTTAGTAGTAAGATTATCGGTATGACTGAACTGATTTGAATTTTAATTCATTCGTTTGTCATTCTTCATATGAAGATTCAACAGATGTAAGTTTAAAAAAAAAATATAACTATAATGATTACAGTAAAGCTTTCAAAACTATTGTCATCTACCTATACACACATGTTTGTAAATTAATCGATAATAGATAAAATAGAAATTTCATATGGTTCAATGTAATCTTGTATCAATATTGTTTCTTTTATCTTTAATTGGGTTCAACTTGGCAACTGCTGATATTAATTTAGTCTGTATGTAACGGACTTGTTTTTTTTCACGGATTAACAGGATTGAAAACATGTCCTGTCATCGATGTAAGGCCAAGCTGACATGCAGAGATGAACAGTAAGTTTCAAGTTGAAAGGTTTAATTCAAATTTGCGTGTATTTTTTTCCCACGATAATATACCAACCGCAAAATTCGTGAATATAAATACACCGCGAAAACAAGTACAATTACAGTATGTTGATATGAATATGATAAATATAATATAACGAGTAAATTTAACAAAATAATTTTTGCAAACCCAATGAAACTTTACCATAGATTAATCTCCTATTATGCTATTGGGTACATACAATAGCAATTATTCTCTGTGTAATTTATTCACTGGGACCTTTAAATTTCTTCTAAGAAAAATCCTTCACTCATTGATTAATTTACTGAGTAAAAACAATGATTTCTGACAAATTTTTTATCATTGCTCATTTTGAAATTTGCAATTTTTGTTTGTTTAGGTATAGAGTACATTTAAGAATGTTTTGATTTAAACATCGTAATTTTCCAGTTTTTTTTTATGTCAAACACAAAAACAAAAATAATACTTTCATGTAGTGTAAATCAAACCTATGATTGCGTTGGATAAAAACCGCAATTTTTATACGTGTGCATGCAAAACAAATTTCTTGTTAGAGGGGTCTAAATACAGCACAAACAACATTTTCCAAAAGACCAAAAAAGTGAAAAAGTATATTTTAACAATACGCATTTGACTAACAGGTCGAACAACAAATGTTCTTAAATCCTGCTGACTGCCATTGGCGATTGCCAAATAAACGGATCACCGATGTAATAAATGGATCTTAAATATAAATTAAATACTACACAGAAAACAATAAACTTGCGAAAAAGATGTTATACCGCAAACATGAGGTGCAAAAATTTGTACACCATATCCGGATTTCGACAATTAATGTCTCTTCAGTGATGTTAGGAATCGAAACGGTATTTGGAAGGCCATATAATTTACCTCAATTTGGGATTGACTCCTGAATTTTGAGGAGTCAAAATAGGATGAACGGATCATATAAACCCGAAGGCAAATATAATACAAGCCCAAACGAAAAAATATAAACAAGTCTAAATTGAAAACAACGTTCAAACCTATGATTGCGTTGGATAAAAACCGCAATTTTTATACGTGTGCATGCAAAACAAATTTATTGTTAGAGGGGTCTAAATACAGCACAAACAACACTTTCCAAAAGACCAAACAAGTGAAAAAGTATATTTTAACAAAACGCATTTGACTAACAGGTCGAACAACAAATGTTCTTAAACCCTGCTGACTGCCATTGGCGATTGCCAAATAAACGGATCACCGATGTATTAAATGGATCTTAAATATAAATTTAATATAAACAGAAAACAATAAACTTGCGGAAAAGATGTTATACCACAAACAAAATGTGCAAAGGTTTTTGTACACCATATCCGGATTTCGACAATTAATGTCTCTTCAGTGATGTTAGGAATCGAAACGGTATTTGGAAAGCCATACAATTTACCTCAATTTAGGATAGACTCCTGAATTTTGAGGAGTCAAAATAGGATGAACGGATCATATAAACCCGAAGGCAAATATAATACAAGCCCAAACGAAAAAATATAAACAAGTCTAAATTGAAAACAACGTTCAAACCTATGATTGCGTTGGATAAAAACCGCAATTTTTATACGTGTGCATTCAAAACAAATTTCTTGTTAGAGGGGTCTAAATACAGCACAAACAACACTTTCCAAAAGACCAAACAAGTGAAAAAGTATATTTTAACAAAACGCATTTGACTAACAGGTCGAACAACAAATGTTCTTAAACCCTGCTGACTGCCATTGGCGATTGCCAAATAAACGGATCACCGATGTGTTAAATGGATCTTAAATATAAATTTAATACTAAACAGAAAACAATAAACTTGCGGAAAAGATGTTATACCGCAAACAAAAGGTGCAAAGGTTTTTGTACACCATATCCGGATTTCGACAATTAATGTCTCTTCAGTGATGTTAGGAATCGAAACGGTATTTGGAAAGCCATATAATTTACCTCAATTTAGGATAGACTCCTGAATTTTGAGGAGTCAAAATAGGATGAACGGATCATATAAACCCGAAGGCAAATATAATACAAGCCCAAACGAAAAAATATAAACAAGTCTAAATTGAAAACAACGTTCAAACCTATGATTGCGTTGGATAAAAACCGCAATTTTTATACGTGTGCATGCAAAACAAATTTCTTGTTAGAGGGGTCTAAATACAGCACAAACAACATTTTCCAAAAGACCAAAAAAGTGAAAAAGTATATTTTAACAAAACGCATTTGACTAACAGGTCGAACAACAAATGTTCTTAAACTCTGCTGACTGCCATTGGCGATTGCCAAATAAACGGATCACCGATGTAATAAATGAATCTTAAATATAAATTTAATACTAAACAGAAAACAATAAACTTGCGGAAAAGATGTTATACCGCAAACAAAAGGTGCAAAGGTTTTTGTACACCATATCTGGATTTCGACAATTAATGTCTCTTCAGTGATGTTAGGAATCGAAACGGTATTTGGAAAGCCATACAATTTACCTCAATTTAGGATAGACTCCTGAATTTTGAGGAGTCAAAATAGGATGAACGGATCATATAAACCCGAAGGCAAATATAATACAAGCCCAAACGAAAAAATATCAACAAGTCTAAATTGAAAACAACGTTCAAACCTATGATTGCGTTGGATAAAAACCGCAATTTTTATACGTGTGCATGCAAAATAAATTTCTTGTTAGAGGGGTCTAAATACAGCACAAACAACATTTTCCAAAAGACCAAAAAAGTGAAAAAGTATATTTTAACAAAACGCATTTGACTAACAGGTCGAACAACAAATGTTCTTAAACCCTGCTGACTGCCATTGGCGATTGCCAAATAAACGGATCACCGATGTAATAAATGGATCTTAAATATAAATTTAATACTAAACAGAAAACAATAAACTTGTGGAAAAGAAGTTATACCGCAAACAAAAGGTGCAAAGGTTTTTGTACACCATATCCGGATTTCGACAATTAATGTCTCTTCAGTGATGTTAGGAATCGAAACGGTATTTGGAAAGCCATACCATTTACCTTAATTTAGGATAGACTCCTGAATTTTGAGGAGTCAAAATAGGATGAACGGATCATATAAACCCGAAGGCAAATATAATACAAGCCCAAACGAAAAAATATAAACAAGTCTAAATTGAAAACAACGTTCAAACCTATGATTGCGTTGAATAAAAACCGCAATTTTTATACGTGTGCATGCAAAATAAATTTCTTGTTAGAGGGGTCTAAATACAGCACAAACAAAATTTTCCAAAAGACCAAAAAAGTGAAAAAGTATATTTTAACAAAACGCATTTGACTAACAGGTCGAACAACAAATGTTCTTAAACCCTGCTGACTGCCATTGGCGATTGCCAAATAAACGGATCACCGATGTAATAAATGGATCTTAAATATAAATTTAATACTAAACAGAAAACAATAAACTTGCGGAAAAGATGTTATACCACAAACAAAATGTGCAAAGGTTTTTGTACACCATATCCGGATTTCGACAATTAATGTCTCTTCAGTGATGTTAGGAATCGAAACGGTATTTGGAAAGCCATACAATTTACCTCAATTTAGGATAGACTCCTGAATTTTGAGGAGTCAAAATAGGATGAACGGATCATATAAACCCGAAGGCAAATATAATACAAGCCCAAACGAAAAAATATCAACAAATCTAAATTGAAAACAACGTTCAAACCTATGATTGCGTTGGATAAAAACCGCAATTTTTATACATGTGCATGCAAAACAACAAATGTTGTTAAACCCTGCTGACTGCCATTGGCGATTGCCAAATAAACGGATCACCGATGTAATAAATGAATCTTAAATATAAATGAAAAGGAAAAAGTATATT